TGCCATTCCATGCCTGCTACCCCTCATAGTAAATCCATTTTTTCCCCCCAAAGAAAAGCCTTTACAAGAACTATCATCTTTGCCAGCTAGCAACCATGTGCAGCGCAGTTACATAAATGTTTGTAATGACTGATAAATTCTGAAACAATCTGGTAAAAAGGGAAAAGGCAGATGTGGCAGCAGGGGGATGGGTGTAGCATTGCAAGACTTTCACAGCTTCATCGAAACCGTATTATTTAAAGGGCCTGTCCATTACCTGCGTCACGGTGGAGGGCCAATGGGGCTCTTGCACAATGGCTGGTCTCAGGCCGTGGGATTTTTGCAGCGCGATGAGGAAACTCCTTTTCCGCGGAGCACCGCTTGCGACTGGCTTTCTCACCGTCTTGAGGCGGGGGGTCTGCCCCTTCGTACCCCCGCTGCCCGCTCTCCTGGGTGCTGTGCTCAAGCGGCTCTCCTGACTGGCCGCAGGACCTGGCCTCGTGGTGGTCGCAGTGGGATTTTCCGTAGTCCGAGTCCTCGCCTTCACGCCTCCTCCTCTTCTTTTTCTTGTGTTTCCATGAGCTGTTGTCAGAATTCCCTTCAGAAGAATCCACATCCTGATGACTTCTGGATGAGGGGGGGTATAAAGACATTTTCAAAATAGTTTCTTTTGAAACACAGTGAAAATAAATGGCTTACTTCATTATCCCATGTGAATAAAGTCTGGATACCCAATATAAATTACACTCTTGTATAGGTGATCTGTTACTGGGAAACTCATGGAAATAGAACATGAGTGCTAGCCTAGAAAAATACTTATTTTATAATGGACTTAGAAAGGTGATGTTTGTTTAACATGGACACTACAGTATACAACATGATACATTTAGACTTTCGCAAAGCCTTGAATAAAGATCTCTCATAAAAGGCTAATTCTCAAATTAAAGGCAGCAGGAATCCAAGATAACATACACACATGGATTGAGAACTGGTTAACAAAAGGGAAACCGTGCTTCACCTCAAGAGAATATCATCTGATTGGGCAGATGTAAACAGCAGTGTTCCGCAGCTATCTACTGTTGGTCTGCTACACCCAAATCATTATAATGATTCACATTTTATATAAGCCAGTTAAATTAACAGAAAAATGAAGCAGCAAACATATAAACAATGCACCAGCATTACAAAAAGACTTAAGATGTTCATGGACCAGTCAGCACTTAATGTGGTAAAAGCCAAGCGATCCACAGCGGATGCAGGGAGATACACTGTACATATCAGCCGCATGACTGAGCTGCAGGCAGCTGTGCGTGAAGGGGATCTGGGTGTGTAAGAACGCCCTTTTATGTGCTCAGCACAAGAGGATGTGGAAAGAGAATTAAAAAAAGCAATCTCAACATGGGTATGGATCAAACATTGTGGAACTTAAAACCAGGAGGACACCCTCAATCTTTACAACGCCTTCCTAACACTTTACGTTAGGTTGCGGTCATCACGCTATAAACGAGATTACGGCCTCAGAAACGGGTAAAAAAGCAAGCAGGGTTCCTTTTCACCTGTGTTCCAGGTGCTCGCGGTGCTTGTCCTTCGACTTCTTCTTCTTCTTGGACCTCTTGTGTTTCCTCGCCCGCCTCTCCTCGGAGGTCTCCTGCCGGGCGTGGTGCTTCCGGTCCGAGTCGCTGTCCTGGCTGCGGTCCCCGCGGGGCCTTGGCCTGGCTCGGGGGAGCGAGGATGAGGAGGACGAAGGGGGAGGCGAGTGGTAGTGGTCCGGCCGGGGTCTGCTGTAGTCCTGAGAGGGGTACGCTTTGCCCCTGCTCTCCTCCGCCCACCTCGGCTTGTAAGAGTGTTCCCCTCTATACGCCCAGTCCCGGTGATAGTGACCGGAGGATCGCTCATCCCGATCACTCACGTACCTCCTGTCCCTGTGGTGACTGTCTCTGTGGCGATACCCGTTTCTCTCGCATCTTCTGTCCCGGTCTTTCCCATCGCGATCCCAGTTTCTATCCCTGTAGTATCTCCCACGGCTGCGGGACCGCTCTCTGCGCGTGTGACAGTCTCTCTCACTCTGGTAGCTGCTCCTTCTGTAAGCATTCCTCTCCCTGCTTCGGGAGCGATCCCCGTGGTTCCTGTGCTTCTCAGAAGCCCTGATTTTATCCTTAGCAGGGGAAGAGGCCAGCCTGTCCCTGTGAGTGTGGCTTTTCTCCCAGTCCACAGTGGCGTGTCTGACTTGCTCTGCGTGGCAGAGGACATCTTCCTTAATTTTCTCTTCCTTGCAACTCCCTGGCTTTGCTTCCTGTGGCTCGGGGTCACAGTCCACCGTAGTACCTACCTTCCCAATGCTGCCAGAGCTGCTCATTCCCAGCATCTGGTTGCTGTTCTGCAAAGCATTCCTTGCGGTCTCCAGTGTGGCATCTCTGGGCTCCTTAGCTCTGGCAGCGGACGTGTGGAAACTGGTGGAGCCGGGAGTGTGAGAGGGCAGGGCTCTCTCCAGCACAGCCGCGGAATGGCCACTGTGGCCATGAGGGCTAGGACCCTCTGAAGAGGCCCCAGAGGTGGCGCCATCCATAAGGCGAGCTCGTCCAGGAGACACGGCCAGTTCCACCTTCGCCTGCTTTACTGGGCCATCCAAAGCCATCTCCCTGTCCGTGAGGTTCGGGTTATCAGAAGAAGGGTTAGCAGCTACATTGTATCGAAGGGGGGAGAGGTTAGTGGGGTTATTTTTAGCCCGTTCTTCCCGACTGCAGAGATTTGGTTCGGAGGCGGGGGGGTGTCTCGGAGGCTCTTTCGCAGGAGAAGCCGAGGAGCGGTCGGCCAAGCTCTGAGTCTTGCCTGCTTTGCAGGCCGAAACATCAGCGACGGCAGGAGGAGGTGGACTGGCAGCCTCTTGGGAAGGCAAACAGGACGTCTGGGTTTCCCTGTTTAAAAAAAAAGAATCATACAGCTGGATATAAAACCAAGGATGTACAACCTGGATTCTCTTGGTACTAGTTTTGGAATACTTTTATGTAGAATTGAACGACAAATTCTGTCATTCATATGGTGGCTCCAATCAAATCTGACGTGCGTCCACGTCTCCAGGCGAGTCCCATCTCCTCTCGTCACCACGAGACCTGAAAGAGAATGACTGAAAACCTGGATGGATCTGCACTATCGTCTGTGCAGGAGGAGACATTGACAAACAGTGAGACGGCATTATCCCAGAAAGTCCGTGGAAAAAAAAAAAGAGACAGAAAGCAGCCTTTTCTATAAAAAGCACAAATCTCACGGCACTGCGGCTTCTGATTACTTCTTCCCACAGAAAGCGCTGCTCACCCTTGCCGGCTGTCGACAGCGGGGCTCGTCCTCGTCACGGGATCCATCGTGCGCGTAGGACTGGTGCCGGTGTGTCCCACAGACTCCGACGACGCCCGGCCAGGACCCGCTGGAAGCACCTCCGGGGACAGCTGCAGAACAAGGAAAGGCCCCCTTTCAAAGCCACATCTTTAAAAATGCGTTTTAAACATATACACTAGCGCCTTGGGCCAGTGAGTCCAAGACCACGGAATCAAAGAAGGATTAGCAGGTGATTATATGTTTCTTAAAAAAAAAAGAAAACTCCAGGAACCTAACATACCTTATCCGAATGCTTGAACCCATTGACTTTAGGCAGCCCATTCTCTGTAGGCCTGGGGGAGCTGCTGGCAGCGTCAGGTCCGTTCTCCTGTTTCCGGGTTTCCATGGTGACTGGGCTGCCGGTCTCGGGCGCGACACGGGGAGGGGGCGGGACCCCGGCGACGCCGCTGGCGGGAGCGCCAACCACGTCCTTCCCATTCACAGCGGCAGCGGGAGCCCGGGCGTGACCGTTCTCCAGCGGGGCCAGGCCGGCGCCGCCCTCCGGGTCGGACTCGTCGGAGGACTCCTCCGCGTACGGCACCAGGAAGGGGGCCTGGTGGCTCAGGGACGCCCCGTTGACGCGGGGCGGGCGGGGCTCTGCCGGCTGCTCCGCTCGGGACATGGTTGCTGCAGCAGCGGAGGCAGAGGAACCTTCTGAGGTAGACTGTGAGGAGGAGGAGGAGGAAGAGCAGGGCTGCGACCGCGAGTGGGAGGCAGCGGAGGAGGACGAGGAGGAGGAGGAGGAGCAGCTGGGCCGGTACAGGTTCTCCAGGGGGCTGCTGTGCAGGCTTGGCTGGGACGGGGCCGTGCGGGACGTCTTGCCCTGACCGATGAGGAAGGACAGCTTCTGCCTCTTGGCGGGCTCGGGAATGCCGGCGTGCCGGCCGAGGGGCCGGGCCGGGAGAGAGGTAGAGGACAAGCCGGGGCCCGTCCGGGTCACACTGGTGCTGCTGGCGCCGGGCTGGGCGGCGCACGATTCCTCCTTCAGGGACCCGTTCCCATTGACGTGGCTGGAATTCTGCAACAGGAAAGGGCCTTGGGCGTTACAATCCTTGAGCCATCCGTTCGGAAGAAGCAGAATTACACTGCTGCAAACACACTAAGTAAACTTACTAGATGTCTGCATATCTGTGCATCTAGATACGTAACGTTACACAGTAATTTAAAGAAGTAGCAATAAATGCAATAAGGCTGTACACTCAAAACCGCAGGTGCTTCCACTGACCTCTGATATATAAATACTATGCAAAAGCAGACCAAAGGTTTGACGAAACTTTCCTGCGTGAGAGTTCACTGAACACCACACGGATGATGTGACCGCTGATGGAACACCCTTTTCTCCCTGCTTCACATCAGTAACTGCCCTGCGCATTTATCCCTATCGGAATAGCTCGCCTCAATGTACTACGGACCTACCTTCCATCTCTCTCTGCGTCTCTTCCAGTCTCTCCCCTGCTGTCAAGATAATATTACACGCTGTCACTTCCTCCGATTCCTCACACTTTAACAACAACACATGAACTACACCATCTTCAGCTTTGAATCCACCCTGGTCTCAACTGAACGATCTACCGCAGTGACCTGTTTTTGCCTTCAAAGAACTACAGGCTTCTCCCTACTCAAATACAAAACTTGACAAGAAACAAAAAATACAAATAGTTCCCGAACTGCGAAAGAGCTCCCTGAAGTATTTTCCAGTCGTTACCACCTGCTCGTGCCCAGTGCAGGGCAGGTGACTATACCTTGGTCATGTGCGGGGGCAGCTGGGGCCCGATAAAGCCGACGGAGGGGTGTCGGGGGCCACCCAGTCGCGGGGTGAGGATGGGCCGGGGGGAGGACTGGCCAGGGGTGCGGCTGGAGTGGTTGTAGTCTCCTCCGTTTTTCAGATCCGGAGACCTGCCAAGCATGGACACACACAACAACACAACAGGCCTCAGGATCACAGAGCAGGCACAGGGGTGACAAGAGCAAAATCTATGCAGAGGTGCACCCTTTCTCTTCAGGAACGGAAACACTGGGCCCTGTTTTACCAGCTGGCTCAAACAGGAGTTCGATTACAACGGAGAGGGCTTGTTCCCAAAGGACAAGCACCCTGTAGCGATTCCACGGGATCTGATGCCCCTTTATTCAATGCGCGGAAAAAGCCTGAGCTTTGCACCTGTCCCTGATTGCTTTAAATATCCAATCATTCTGTGATTACTACTTTCAGATGTTGACGTTATTCTGATCTCAGCGAGAAAACTGTACAGAAAGGTACAAGCAATCCCAGCCGACCCACACAAAGAGTTCTGCAGCACACTGCTCACACGGACCAGGGCTGGAAAGAACAAATGAGAACTGATTACGAGTAGATCTGAATCGTGGGACCCGGGGCTCTTGGGGTCCAGCATTGCTAACAACCCATCACGGACTGGCGAGAGGACGTGAAAAACGCACCTGATGTAAAACAGAACGTAAGCTTGTTGATTCAGAACAGATCTGATGTCGCTGATGGAAACCGAGGAATCGTTCATCTGATACCACTGTCCATTGCTGGCCTGAGAGGAAACGCAGCACGCGAAAGGTTAATTTACAGAGACCAGTTTTTAGTGCTTTCACTAAAAAGCAGTGTACAGTAAGTGCATTATAACAGACATTTCACTATTTTAAATTTTATGCTTTTAAGGTATTATTGCTGCTACACTGCCACTACAGGCACATTCCACCTAGACTGCACATTTTAATCTTCTACAGTAGTGGTGCCCACTTACATGAGTTCTGGACGTGTCCTGAGAGTCAGTGTCTTGGATGCATTTAGCATGACTGTTCCAATGAGTTCCAGACTGCTGTTGCCCAATGAATACTCCCAGGTTACGGTCAGCCCTCAAAAATGACATCTTGTTCTGGCAGGACTGACTGTAGCCAAGGGATTTATTTTTGCAGGGCTGGGTGAAGACTGACACTCAACTGGCTCTTACTCAGCTGTTGTCATTCACATCGACTTGGTTTGGCAAGAGCTAAAACCGTCGGTCTGGACATGTGGATTTCTTTTCCTCTCATAAAACCTCAGAAACACTCCCCTCCTTGTCTTTGGCTAGATGCCCTTTATGTTGTGCTGTATTGTTCTCCTTGTACTCCAAGTTCGTGCTCTAAGGGTTTCTGCACTCCTGAAATCATTCATCCGTTACCTTGACGTAGCAGTAGTAGTGCCCAGCATGGCAGCTGAACCCAGAGTGGACTAAGACAGCGTACAGGACGTACACCTGGGGCTCCCCGTGAGACTGGGACATGAAAGGACGAATGTCCAGGTACTCAGGATACCTCACGTCCTGCACAAGAAAAAACAGAACAGTGAGCTTGCAGGACATTGTCCTCACTCAGTCTCTTGATGATTTTACCTGACAGATATCCCAAAAACAACAAGCAGTAGCAAGAACTCCCACCTGCCTGAAAGAGAAGATTTTTTTTTGACAATCCGCCACAAAACAATACTAGCGGCACTTCCTTGAACCCACTTAACTGATGGAATATCATCTCTGCAGCTGGACTCAGGGGGCAAATTTCAGCACACCCCAGCAGGCTGCCCGATTTCACCCCTCCACACTGCCCTGTTGCCGTGCAAAGAAAGCGCGCGCAGTACCTTTGCAATCTTTCCTCCATTGTAGTTGGCAAAGCGCTTCAGCGAAATTGTGAGGACATTGGAGCCGCGGTGGATTGTGAAACGCTTGGAGGCTGGAACCATCTTCTTGCATCTGGGGAGGAATAAAAATAAAGAAAAGGATGAATCACGACAGAAGGCAGGCGTGCGCTCCCCAGGTTAGAGGTATTCCAGTGCTAAAGCTGTCAAGTCCAATCCTTCACAATGACTAACATTCACAGCTGAGCATGTCCGATTTTACACTGCTCATTTTCCCTCAGATTCAAAGATGGAAAAAGCGAAAATGCACGGAATCTTTCTTACTTGGTACACTTGTAGGCATTCTCACCATCCAGATGCTCAGGCTTGACAAACTGTTCAAGAGCTTTGCTGATGTTCTGGGCAGTCTGTGCGGTACAAGAGGACGACAGGATATATTTCAGGGACTGATATTTTTATGCAGACATATGCAGTACTCACACAAAAGTCTCTTGATTTCTACAGAATGGCACTTCTACTGTGAAAGTGGATGCCTGGTTTAATTTCGTTTTTCAAAATTGTTTTTGAGAAGGGTACTTTTTCTGAGCAGGTGGATTCTGATACAATGACAATGCACTCGCTTTGTTTCTGTACATACGAGCACAAGAGGATGCGTAGGAGGTGACAGCATGGACATACCTTGATTTCCAATGCGACATCCAGGTAAGGATCAAACGTGTCAGAGACAGCTTTACAGTTCAGACACTTTACTGCAATGGAAAAGTACATCATTCATTGCTGGGCAGAGTGTTCTTTTTTGCCCCTTGAAACATACAATTGCTAAAGAACTAACATACATTCACATCGAGCGGAGCGAGTTCTTAAGTATAGGTTGTAAGGCAAACTTGTACTTTATTTTAAAATACTGTGATATTCTCCGAGATGTGTTGAAGTATATAACTGCCAATACAACAACAAGTTAATTTCATTATTTTGGGGAATAAACGTCTGACTGGACAAGAAAAGATACCAAGATCCTCGATATCTTTTAACAAGCCACACCCCAATTTCTTCGTAACTTCAACCAGAACACTTGGTCACGTTGCTGTGTTTTCCTTTTATTGTTAACGACATACCTCTCGATCTCAGGTATCCTCCGAAGATCTGATGCACCAGTGTAGTGGCCTGTGTTTGCCTGTCCAGTCTGTGGAGTTTCAAGATAAAATAGAGCATTTTTAGATGCCTGGAGGAATGCTTCAGATTAGTTATCAAAATACACTTTAATTCAAAGGTTAAAAATCTCCCTGCTTCTCGTCATAAGAAGCTCACATTTTGTGAACCTTCATACAGGTGATTGAGGCACAAGATCTAGCAGAAAACTTTTAAATGCAGCTACACAACTCCGGAAACCAACAATCTGAAAACACAACTTAAAACACTTTGAACCATAAACCTACTTGCTTCCAGGTAGGCATGACTTTTGCATAGCATCCACGGTGTATCGCAGAAACTCATGGGCATCCTCCTGGCTGCCGAAACGGAAATGCTTGGCGATTCCTGGAAGCCCGAAAGAAAGCGAGAAGCAGGGATAAGGAACGCGCGCCGTGGAGAGGACCGACGGAGACAAGAGACGACCACGCTGCCGAGCAATTACAACCGGAGCGACAAACTCACGCTTGAGCTCATTGAGGACGCCGATTGGTTTGATGACGTTCCCCGAGTTGGCGAAGACCTGGGTGATGTGATTCTGCATCGTACACATCATACAGAACCCCGGTTCGTGACCTGACGGAACACACAAAAAAAAAAAAGAGCCGGGAATTACTCTCCGCTCCCACTGGTGAGGGGGATGCACTCAGGATACCAGGTCACGGGGAGCTGGGCAAAAGCACCTACATGTTTTCGAGTGCTCCCGGGACAGCATGTAGTTGGCGAGCGGGGCAGTGTAGGTCAGACACTGCAGGGCAGAGTTGAGGAAGCATGTGTTTCCCAGGTTCTGGAGACCCGCTCCGATGCGATGGACCTGGTTCCACTTCAGGCTGAGCCGCTCGGCCGGGAACAAGATCTTCTGCGGGAGGGCGATGCCGTCTCCGCTGGCCATCAGAGCTGGGGAGCAAAGAGGGCGAGTGGTCAGAGCAGCTTGCTCACAGGACGGAGGGAAAACAGACGACGAGTGCCAGCTATTTCGGACGCAGACCGGATGAATAAAAAAAAACCTGATAAAAAAATCTCTTGCCATTATCATATCAGATCTAAGAGTACTATAACTGTAATTACAGATTGTAGTAAGAAACATGATCATTTATCTTAAAACCCGTTTATTCCTTTTGTATATTTTTGATTCTGTAAATATGTGCTTAAATGGAAATACAGCAGGAAATTAAGCAAATATCAGCTAATTTTTGACAGAGTTGAAGAAAGCTCCAAATGAGAAGTCTCCAATTGAACATGTGAAGACGTGACTCATTACTTAAGGACCGTGAAGACGATAAAAAGAAATGCAGCAGAGTCTGCTTTAAAAGATCAAAAACACGGCAGTTTTACTTATCTACTACCATGCAGACTTTATTTGAGCTCAGTACAGCACTTGCAGTATTATATCCGACGTCTGTTCACAAGCAGGCCCTTGTAAAACCAGATCAGCGATGGATTATGTACAGTAATCGGCACACGGGATGGCAAGCGCAGCGCACTGACGCCCACAGACCGCACTCGCAGCTTGAGAGACCTACACTGCTCCTTGTGTATGGGCGATTTGGGCCTCTCCGGCGCCGGCACCGAGCTGCTCGTGTAGACCGCGGCGCCGGGGGTGGGTCCCACGCAGGGGGTCTTGTTTTTCGGGGGGTCCGAGGTGGACGATCCCGCGCCCCAGCTGGCGGAGCTAGTGTCCATGTCACCGGAAGAGGACGGGGTCGGGGAACCGGAGAGCTCAGACTGACCTGACTCGGGGTCAGACGTCTCTGTTGGTTTGTCAACTATGGTCATCGTTCATTGCTGGACAGAGAAAGAGGGTTAGAGGAAGATTCCTTAGGAAGATGAACACCTCCCTCTTGGGGATAAGCATAAACATTACATGGGCCTGCATACACAAATGAACGTGTTACACTGTACACTCGCAACTAACACCGACTGCCATCCACTTCAACAGTCAGAAAATTCCTCTGTCCACTTTCTAACACCTACTCCAATTCTGGGTCACAGGGAAGCTGGTGTCAGGTAATTCCTCTCATAACTGGGTCCAAAAAGCTTATGTGATTACATTTTTGCGCCAGTTAATAACAAAGAGTTGTACTACAGGGGCTCTTTAAGATATTTCTTTGTTGTTTATTACCAGATTGGTTCCTGCAAACTTACATTTAAGATTCAGTGAAAATTATTGATGCAGTCTCTGCAATGCTTGTCTACTACAGGACATATTTATTAAGATGCACTTTATAACATGTTACCACATGGCCCTGACATTCCCTAACCATTTGATTAAGCAGAAATGACTCTTTACTATATGTTGTACCACTCAAAACCTTTTGACAAGCACAGGTCTATGTGAACCATTTCAGTATTCTTTCTCTGGACAGCGACTTACAATTACACAGTTCCAAAACAAAAACTAATTTACTAGAAAACGCTCAGACCCAACCTGGTCTACACAGTTAATTGCGGGAACTCGCGAACAGAGCTGAAGATCACTAGCATGCGTTATGAATTAGGCTAATTAGGGTGTTATAAAACGCATTTTACCTACGGTTGCAGTGCGTGCCCAGCTCTCTCTGGGTTTTAAAACAAAACCGAAAGTAAAACCGAAGGAAAGCCTTTAATATGATCGATTTTTTTTTAAAGTTGCGGACCTTTGAATTTCCGGTGAGGCTACTTGCGGTCGGTTCCCCCCCCCTACACCAGAGAAAAAGTTTGTCCTGTGACCCCACCAAACAGCCAACACCGACGTGGAAAACACGGAACCGAAAAACGTGCCATCAACTTGGACCCAGCCCGTCGGTCTGCCCGGCCCGCCAGCGAAACCGTGTCGACCGCGAAGTGAACGGAAAGACGAGAGGGGTGCTTGAACAGCGACACAAGACGGACCCCTTTCATCGTTACACGAGGCTTGGCGTCTTGAAAACAACGAGAGAAAAACAGGGGGGAGTTGGGGGAGCTCTTGAGCCCCCCAAAGGCGAGGGGCTCTTTTTGAAAACAGTCGCTCTCGGACAGTCCCGGGGCCGGCCTGCTCCACGCCGACCCCCCGCCACCCCACCGGGCAGCGCCTGTCAGAGCCGGAGTGTGTGTGTGTGTGTGAGGCCAGGGGACAATATCGGTACCACACACCGGGCTGGACGGTCCCCTCCCCGCCCGGACAGGCTCGCCGCCCGCCCCTCTTCCGAACAGAACCGGGCGAGGCGGCTCGGACTGCGGGCGCCATGGCAACGCCGGAGCGCCACAACACAGAGCCGGACCGGCGGCCGGCGGCCGGCCGGAGACATGCCAGCCACAGGAGCGTGCGGTACACACCGTGAGCCGGCCAGATCGCGGACAGACCCCCCCCGCTGCCGCCCCGGGGGTGCATCTGCCGGCGCCGGGCGGGGGGCTCCCGGGGAGGGGTCCGACACTCTCCGGGGGCAGAGCTGCTGTCCTCCGGCGGCGCACGGCGGGAGCGGACCGAGCCGGGCGGGAGCGCAGCCGGGCTTGAAGCTCCCCTCCTACCCCTGCCACCGCCGAGCGGCGGAGCGCGTCGGAAGCCGGCTTTCGAGGCACTCACCTGATATTTTATTGTTAGTATTTTATTGACGGCGGCGATGTCAGTCCATCCCCTCGTACGCCGAGTGTCCGGCGGCGAACAATGACGTACATCCCCGGGACTACATCCGGGTGCCGGTGACGTCAGGGCCCCGCAGGACACGTGGGGGAGCTGTTGGAGACCAGAAAATGCACCGTTTGTACATCTCGGTCTCATTGTACCGCCGAATAGCGCAAACAAAGGAGAGAATGTCTCCAAGAGAAAAAAAAAACAAAAAGAAAACAAAAAAAAAAAAACACAAAAAAAGAGCTCAGAGAAAAACACAGATCAAAACAAAAAGGAAAAACAATAGATGCATGTAGAATATTTTTTTGCCTGGTTATTTTACATGTTTTTGATGGGAGTTTAAGGAACATTGTATTTCCACCTTATGAGCAGTAAAGGAAGGCGCGGGATTAGGAGACTATGTTAAAAAAACTCTTCACCTGGCCTACGAACATGAAGAGTGCAAGTA